CAAACATCTTAATTACCTCAGGACCTGACTATTTTAATGTTCTCCTGGCTGGCTTCCCATCCTTCACCTGCAAGGAACTTAAACTTAAACTCATATCAAACTCTGGTATTCTTGAGCCAACTTGCATCAAGTTCCACCTCCTGAGGACAGTGTGGTCACTGACCATCATCGATTCCTAGCTCAGCAAAGCCTTGGTTTTAAAATATTCATCCTTGTATGGCCTTTAACCTGCTCGCTCTCTGTAACATTCGCCAACTCTACAACACTAAGAACTCTGATGTTACTGTATCTGGCCTCTTCTGTGCTCCCTATTCCCTTTTCCCCAAAAAAAAGTGATACAAATTAATGATATAAAGAAAAAATTAAACAAGAGGTCTGCATTTGTTATGAATCAGCCACTATTCTACTGATAGTGTTTCATAAAACTGAAACATTGAACAAAGTTATTAAATTTGAATTGTCGGTTAATTTAGAATAATTAAATATACAGCTCATTGAAAGTCCTTTGCTTATTTCACGTCTTAATTTAAATTCACCAATGCTCCTTAGACAGCATGTTCCAAACGTATGACTACTACCATCTAGAAGGACAAGGGCAGCTGATACATGGAACCTGTAAATTCCCTTCCGAGCCAATCAGCCTGACTTGGAAATATATTGATATTCCTTTGGCTGGGTCAAGATTCTGGAACTCCCTGCTTCCGAGAACAATTTCTTCCAGGGCAATATGGTCAGGCCCAACCAACAAAGTCTACTTCCCCTGAATCAATTTTTTAAAATTGACTAATTTTAAAATCCCAATACAAATTGAATCCTGAAGAGTAAAATTCAGTGTTCATTCAACTTCTTGATCAACATCAGGAGCTAGGTAGGACAATCCTCTCCACCTGATTGCAATGGAGGCTGAGCAATTTTGAAACATACCAAGACTGGTCATCAAGATAAAATGCATGATCAAACATTTGAAAAAGTGGAACTTGAAAAACAAAAAGAAAAGCAAAAACAAGAAAAGGTTATGCCATGGAAATGTAACATCTTTAGAATCACAGAATCCCTACTGTGTGGAAGTAGGCTATTTGGCCCATCAAGTATCCCACCCAGACGATTCCCCTACACTATCCCATTAACCCAGCATTTCTCGCATCTAACCCACCTAAGCCTGCACATCCCTGGTTATTATGGGCAATTTAGCATGGCTAACCCACCTAACCTGCACACTTTGGACTGTGGGAGGCAACCAGAGCACCACACAGACATGGGGAGAATGTGCAAACTCCACACAGACAGTCGCCAGAGGGTGGAATTGACTGTGGGTCCTATGCGCTGTGAGACAGCAGTGTTAATCACTGAGCCACCTTCCTAACGTTCCATTACTTCCCCTACAGATTTGCTAAGCTGATGCATTCGAATTTTTGAGCACATACTACAGGTGAACTTGAACTTTTTTGAAGCATGAAAATCAATTTGAATTAACAGTAGATGACATACTAGCTGCATAATTTCCTACAATACCAGCTGCAAATTGTTTCTCAACCTCACAATTTTTGATGCTCCAGCCTGAATGTCATCTAGCATGTTGGTATTTAACATCTGTACCAACAGATGCTGATAGCATATAAATATGTGACAACAAAATCAATCCAACTCATAAAACCTTTATGTTTAAAAAGAAAAGGGCAAGCACCCCGGAGTCATTCCAAGATACTGATCTAATCACAGGATTTAGATGGTTGTTGTAAACCACTCATGATTTGGTTCTTGAAGCTTAACACATCTATACATAAATACCAAACTGCTAACCTGGAATCAGATATCATTAAACTCAATAAAACCTATTATGAATAACGAGACCAAATTATGAGCAGAAATTTTAATCCCTAAAATTTAGTACAAACTATGGATGAAAATATAGATAAATAATGTATACATCATTAGTTAAGTCACTCTGAATCCTTGGGTGCTTTATTAGAAATCATATTGAACCGTTTTATTTTACATCTGTGCGAAAGGCTTTCAAGTAGTCAATTCCTAACATTATAGCTCTGCCTCATTGCTTTTAATTTGTATTCAGCAATATCTTTGGACAATCATTTTCAGCACAGAAAACAAATGATAACTTACCATTATTTGCACAAGTGATGGTCAGCCAATCTACAGCCGAGTGGAACCCACTTCCTCTGATGTTTGACTCATCCTTCTCTGTCTTGAGTAAAACAACATCTATCGAGTGGGTACTCTCTTTCAGATAAGAATGGCTATGGACTATCACAAAGGGATCTCCAAGCTCTTGTTGGAACATTATCTGGAAGAGAAAGAGAATGGTCAGAAGATCAAAGGGTAGATTTAAACATTCTAAACCATTACAAGGTGCATCACCAAGCTTGATAAACTCTTCCTTGAAACTGAGCTGTTGCACAACAACTTTCAGACTTCTTCACTGAGATCTTAACAATTGCACGAAGGTGGAAACAATAAAGATTTTGCTGAAGCTTTTGAATAATTTGCAATGATTTGAGATTTCAGACACAGAGTAATATCACAAACAGGTCAGAAGCTTTAAGGGCAGAAACACCAAGACTTTCTTTCCTTGCACACAGAATCACTTACAGATTTTGCAGGCACTGACTTCTAACCTCTGAAAGGACTGAAGTACTCTAAACAGAGTTTACAAAGTTGTAGCGTCCTCTGAAAAATCTTTGGGTAGTACACTTTGCAAATACCAGTTCCAAAAAAAACGCTTACAAATATGGAATCAACTCATGGAGTGTGTGGCACAGGCTCTGGGTAACATAATCCTCACGAGATCAGAGTATCAGACTCAGCTCCTGGCCTTAATGTTGTGAAACACTCAAAGCAAAATAAACACCACAGTACACTATGAGCCAATTAGCCCGTTTCTGAATTATAGAATTTATGTAATTCTATGGCATGTCTGTAGACAAGTAGCAGTTTGAGCTTCTGTGTGAAAGCAACTTAAGTTTTCAAGGCTAGGATTTTATTTTAAATCAAAACAAAGCACTAAATGAACAAGAGATAGTAGGAACTGCAGATGCTGGAGAATCTGAGATAACAAGGTGTAGAGCTGGATGAACACAGCAGGCCAAGCA